CATTGAATTTATTAACGAACCTCTTCGAAAGCTTTGTCTTATAAGGACAACTAAGTGAAACAGATAACATTAGAAAGGAGTTAACAACAATGTGGCGCTTCTATCTCATCTTTATTTCTATTTCCGAAATGTATTTTATTCAGAAAGTTCAGAAAAAGAAAGATCAAACATTTTTATTTTTTGCCTTCTCAGTATGATATTTTCCTCTTTTGTTTCAAGTTTAATTTTTCAAGCTTTTCATAATTTCAATTAATTGCTATGATTAATCATTTGTGAGATATTGTATTGGAAAAAAATTCGTTACGTTAGATTTTATTTTGAATCATTTATTCTTTCTCTTTGATTTTATTTTATTGCTACAAATTGTATTAAAAAATCAGTTAATTCAACTTCTATAAAGTAATTAAAAAATTTACGAAACAAATGAAAAAAAGAAAGCAAAATTTAACTTAATCAGAATTGAAGTGAGGATTGGATTCGGTTGATATGGAGGCTTGAAGTGTTCCACCATTCATTTCAACTTGCAAACGTAATAAATTATGTAGGAAAAACTGTAGCTACATTTTTTTAAATATAAATTAAGTAAACCACTTTGCAGCATCTAAATTTAATTTGTTGTTTATCCGACAGATCAAACTTCTATCCTTAACTAAAGCTTTTTATCTTTTAAATCTACTTTTGCAATATTTCAAAATTTATTAGCATTTTGCTGCCAGCATAATTTACAGCGCTATTAAGAAATTTGCTGATGAAATGCGTTGAAAATTTATGCCATATAAAATATTTCAAATTGAATTTCACTTTAGAAAACTGTGCCGAGTCTTTTATCGGAAATGATTTGCACAATCGAGTCTGACCTGAATTGAACTTCATGGATATCCATCTTTATGAACCGCTTTATTCAAAATGATAGAAACAGAAACCGTCATGATTCTTATTCAGGAAGCAATGTTTCACACAAATAGGGAATTCACTAGCTATAATTTAATTATCGTGTTAATCGATAGTGTGATAATATTCGCCATATTGAGCATATTTTTCATTGTCGATAATTTAATTACTCGCAATAGTTCAATTATATTCATCTTCGGGATATCTGGTCCATTTTTGGTATTCAAACATCTATTACTGTAATAGTTATAATATGCTAAACTAATTGTTGAAACGTTTTCTTTTCCATCATTAAAGATATTCATCTTATTTCAGGTTTTATCAAATAAATAATTTTGATATATCTAAGCGTGATTAAATTTTCAAAATTGAGATTATAAAGTGATTTTAAATTTTCAAATAAGTATTAATTAGCGTGCTAATTGTTATTTGCTATGCATTAGAAGAAACCATAATAGTGCTAATTTATGAATATCGTGATAACAACTGCAAACAAATTTATTAAATAAACTTTAAAAAATCATTTTCAAGAAAACTTTCAAAAATCATTTTTAACACTTTCATATTATTATGACTAAATCATAATTACTGAAATTTAAAAGGTTATGTAATCAAATGTTGTGGATAAAAATTTTATGCTTTTTTTTTATTTCTATCAAAAATTAAGGAAACCTTATGAATTGTTGTTGTTTTCGAAAGACGAAAAAAATCTTATCATTACTTGTTGTTTTCGATTAAAACAAGCTTTTAGATCTCCCAACTGGTTAGTTATCTATTAAAAAAATAGCCAAATAGTGATAATAGTTTGAAAAAATTTCGCCAGTTATAAAAGAAACTTTGAGATTATCATCGAGACAGCCGATTAAAAAAGTATAACTAAGTGTATCATTGTGGAGAATTTAATTTTCTCTAACATTTTCATTATCTTAACTATTCTATTCATCGATCTCGAAGTATCCCATAACTACAGTTTTAAGCAAATCGATTTTAAGCAAAAATGCTACCATTCATCGGTTATTTTTTTTGCTTTTACCGATTGGGAAGAAATGCATTTAATTATTTGTTTATAATTAACGCTAACTTCATACTCACAGATTTTTATTTTGAAACATTCAAATTTCTTGAATCTGCGATTGCCAATTTTCCAAATTTAAGAAAATAAATTGGACAAAGAAATTAAGACTGAAATAAGTTAATTTCTAGTGTCGTAAAAATGGATTAGAAATGAAATACATTCTTCATATATAATATATATATATAATTCTTTTTCCATTTATTTTGTCTTCTCATGAATATTTAGCAAATCGATTTAGCAAGATTTTCGTTACACTCAGAATAAAATTTCCTTCAATTAAAGACAACAGATTTTTTCTAATTTCTCGTCTTGAAGGAATTTCTTTATGAATTTGTCACTTGTTTCTACTAATTGAAAAATTTTTACAATTTTTTTTAACTTTCTTCTCTTAGGTATCGAAGAAATACAAAAAGATTAATTACCCATGAAAATAAGGGTTGATAGTTATTAAAAAAAAAAAAGATGGATTTTCAACAAAATTTTACAACAAATTAAGAGCATCGAAAATTCTCTTTCAAAATGCTTCCAAAATGTTGAAATAATCATGGGCAATTTATAAATTATCATTTTGTTTCTTTTGATATTATCCGAAATTAACTGTGAAAGCATATCAAATGATAAGTTGTATTTTCTTCAATAACATTAATTGTAAATTTATTCGCTTACCTATTCGCTTTCTTCTTCTTTTTTAAAATCTAAACAAATTAATTTTTAATTGTTATAATTTTAAATAAATTTGCTGTAAATGAAATTATCTTTTTCCTTCAATAATATTAAACTAACGAAATAATCTCGCAAAAAAACTTTCAAAATTATATAATTCTTTCAGTCTTTAACCTTTAAAAATGAAATCAACAAGTTACAAAGATGCTTGCTTATGATATTATTTGATATAAATCATCTAATCAAATTGTCAAAACAATCTTACTTTTGTAGAAATTTGAACAAACATGACGAAGATACAATTAGCTGCTTGACTTTTCATTTCTTTAATAACTGTATGTTGTTTGTCATCATATGAAGAAATCCTCACATCAATACTAATTAGTGTTGTTATTTTATTGAATTCTGATTTTCTTTGTATAATTACTTTTAATTCTAATCATAAGCTTTTGAAAAAAAGCGAATTTTCATGATCAATAATTTTACTGATACCATTTTTGATTATATTCTTCTATCACTTCATTTGATTAGTGTAACAATGATTGCTTATCGATAAAAGATTTTGGTTAACTGAAAGCGAAAGAGTCTATATATTTATTATTCGCTAATAACTTAAATAATTTCCTATATGCTTCAATTAATTTCACTTTCTTTCTTATCAACAATCTTTTGCTTCCTGTAATCATTCACTTTAACATACTTTTTAACTCTTAATAAAGTTGATCTTTACAGAAAAAAATTGTGAACTTTTTAAAATTACAAAAAAAGTTATCATGTGAATTACAACATATATAAAGATATCTATTATTTTTAACCGTAGCTCAAATTATCTAAACTACGGTATGCTTAATCTTTAATTGATAAAAAAATTTAATCAAACATTTTTTAACAACAGCCCGTTAATTGCCAACTTAAAGAAAATCGTTTGACAGCTTGAAAATTTTTTCAAAATTTTTATGAACTACAAAATGATTCCAAAGGTCGGAATCATTTTTTAGTTGATATTTGTTCTCATCCAAATTTTAGAAATTGAAATATTCATTCATCTGAATAGTCTCGAATCAAATTATTTATATATACAGGTTCAGCCACAAGTTACTGTCATTTCTGTTTGTGCAAGGGTAATTTTTTGAAGATCGATCTAAAAATGACAGATTTTAATTGCATTACATCATGCAACGATCATGCTTCTTACTATTTCCCTTAATCTTTCTTCTCTACTGATTATCATTTCAAAATTTACAACATATAAAAATTTTGTCTTAAATTTTTTTGAACTGTTTAAAAAAAAAAGTGTGTCAGATTTAGTATCTTTTTCAACGATAATCGTATTCTATTGGACTAGTTGAAATATTTCCTTAAAAATTATTTAATGATGGATGAGGTTAAATGATAACTTTTCCAAACAATGACAAAACAGAATTGGACAGGAATGCGATCATCGAATCAGAAGCGTCCAATCCTATTTGTGAATTAATGGATTGCAATGATGTCCTCTACAAGAGAGCGATCAAATTATTGCTATAAAATCAGCTTTTTCATTTTATAAATTATTCAAAGAATTTGATAATTATCTTTATTTATCTCTTCTGAACGTATTGTATACATTATCTGGAAATTTTTGTGGAAGGTTTTTTGCTTTTTTTTTATTTTTCTGCCAGCCAAATGAGAAATGACCGAGTCTTTTCTCATTTGGCTGGCAGACTCATCTCTCTATTAGACTCATCTTATCTCTCTATTAGCCTAGGCTAATATGGAACCAAAAAAAAATCGATCACTTATAGGTATATCCGAGAGAAATTAATATTAATTCTTAAAAATATTATTTTTCGAAAATTTTTATTCAACGTTAATTTGTCAAAAAAAGAATAAAACAAAACAATTGGAAAATCTTTTCATTATTCATTCTTAGCATTCTTTCTTCTAATATTCTAAAATCTTTTCAACTAAATTATTTTGACAAATTGTATGGAAATAATCATTTCAATTAATAATTTCATAGGGGAAATGATTGTGAATAATGTTTAAAAAAAGAGACGAAGAAATGAATCAAAATAGTGATAATTTATTTTACAGACGTTTAAAAAATTTTTGTAATTTCATAAGAAAATTTTACTACCTGAAAAAAATATAATTAATTATTGATAGGAAACAAAAGGGTGACTCAGTTCCCATTATAGGTAACAAAAGGGCGATCCAATTCACATTATTTTTCTGTTTTTCTATTGCAAAATTTTCCACTCAAAAATGAGAAAAACTTTATCATATTTTTAAAATAAAATATGTGGAAAATTATATTGAAATTTAGGATATAAGTTAACATTTCATAAAAGATCGTATTTAGGCAATGCCACCAGCTAGGCATGTGAAATTAAGGAGTGCTGAGGACACATTCTATCGTGGAAACAACCAATGGTGGCTCGCTTGTTTGCCACAGTCGTTCTTTATTGCACTCTAATGGTATCGATACTGTTCCTAGTTGAATATTTATGAAATTCACTCGATTCACCGTTATACCAGCCATTAGTTGCAACGGTGGTATTACTGTTGGTTGTCTATAATTGAAATTTCAATTTTTGAACATTTTAAATGTTAATTTAAATTTCAGAATAAATTCTTATTCGTATTTAATCCAAATTCTTATTCCATCATCTAAAATTTATTATAATTAATTACAGCTTTAAAATATAAAAACGTTTTAATTTATCAATATTTTGCGCAATTTAACTTAAAATTTTCTTACGAGCAAGTTGCAATCGCTAATGAACGACAGATTTTGCTGCTGTAAATAAATGACATTATGCCATTTGATAGATTTGTATTGTTCGTAGGCGAAACTGACAGCGGTTTACAACAAACTGAAAAGATTCGAGTTATGTGACAATATTCTAGTCGTATATTATTTTTATCAAGGTTTTCAGAGTAGTCTATAGTTAGTTTAGTTCAGCATTTCGTCTAGTAGTTCACAGACTTCTGAAGAAGACCTTTAGTACCAACTGTCATGTTCGTGTTTAATTCATTTGCTGATAGCTAACCGGATATCACTTTAAAAAAAAAACGTGCAAGGGGGAGTTGGCGTTGGTGTCGGAGGTTGAACTGAAGTTGTAGTTGGAGTTGAAACTGGTGGAGTAGCTGCGCAAGCATAAATGACGGGTAATTGCATCGCTGCCAAAAGGGTGATCACATATACCATTAATGAAAAGTTATTCGACTGAAATGAAAACAAAATAATGCAAATTCTTATTTTTAGAATTATCTAAAACTAATTATAATTTCTATAAATTGTGTCGAAAGTGAATATCAATCCCTCCAACTGTGAGATATTACTTCGCAATAAGTTAATTATTAATCAGCATAAATTCCTCTGTTTAATGTATCAAAAAATAAGTGATAGATGGCACTACTCTTTTCAATCTCATCTTTTAGGTTAGGAATTTAAGAATAATTCTGAAATCGAACAAGTATAAATAAAACAGAATCAATAAAATATTATTGGTTTCCAGCCATAGTGGTAGGTGCGACCCTTCAGGACAATGCACTTATTGCCATCACTAAATTAGATAAGGCATAATGAATCAAAATCAAGCTGAATTCAACGGTGATTTGTGGTCTTTTTCATTGAAGCATCACAGTTCCATAATACGATACAAAATTATTATAATCAAAAAAAAAATTAGCAGTTACAAAAGATATTAAGAAGTTGCGACTATATTTTCAGGATTGACAAAAAATGTGAAATTTTTGATGAAAGAAAGACCTGCTTTAGGTCAATATAAAAGCTTATCCTGTAGATCGTGAAATTCAAAACATTAAACAATCAAAAGAGGAAATGAAAGGTAGATTTGGGAAAGAGAAAAACTGGCAAGGATCACGTAAAGAAAAAAATAACAAATTGAAATTAAAATTAAAAATTATGAGGAAAAAATTTCTTTTAATTCTTAATCAGATATGTTGTAAATGCAGCGCTTATTAGACTGAATCTTTAAGGAATATTTTATTACTTTATTATAAATTATATAAGCAATTAAAATTATTATTGCATTTGGTTTGAATATACATTGTTATTCAATAAATTGCATTTCTGCATGCTAACACTAAATGAATGATTTCAAAATCTGTTTTTATAAAAGTTTTTTTTTTGAATACAACGATTCAGATAGAACTGTGATGAACGAATGATTCTGTGATGGATTCAATATCAAAGCATTTTCTTCTCTCATACATTCGATATATAAAGATGTGAGTTTTTTCATTTTTTGAAAAAACTAACAGATGGAGATTGTAATTGTTGAACCATTTTGATTCAATCTATCTGCTGATTTTGTGTTCTAAGATACAAAATATGAATGTGAGAATTCAAGAAATGATTTGTTACAAGAAATAAAAAAATTTTAATTTGCAGAAGATCTAAGCATATGAAGGAAAAATTTATAGGTAAATTTTGACCAGGTTAAATAATTAAAAAGGTTATAAAGTTATCCATAAATAGGTAGGTAACATAAAAAGATATATGATGAATAATTTTAAGTGGCTAACTGGGAAGAAGAATGAATGCGTCCGATTACCAAATGTCAACTTTTAGGCATTACGCAAAAGTAGTTTGAGGTCAATATATATGGGTGGCAAAAGAATAAGGTTTTATATGGGTAGGTATTTCGTATCGCTATTATGGGATTCAGTTAAGATTTTCAGGCAAATAAAAATGGCATCTCAATGTCCTTGAATTATGTCATACCCCCCCCCCTCATTTATGTACAATTAACATTCAAAATATATCAGCAATATTTGTCTTTTCTTCTTCTGTCATCTTTTGAACCTTACCTTATTCTTGCTGTTTCCGTTCAACTCTAATCCATCTTATCTTCATCAAACATTTCATCATCCAACCCATTCCATCATTAGTATTTTCCCATTGAATATCTCACAAGAAAACGTAGGAGTAGAATGTGTATTTTTTTGGCTTCCGAACAGTCTTATCGGATGTCCTTAATACACAACAATAATAACTATTTCATCCATTCGCAATTGTCGTGATCGAGTTCGTTTTAAAAAATTCGGTATAATTGAGATGCAAATTATATGGTACTACAATTCGGTAATCTTCAATCGCTGTTGCAATTGTTCGATAATACAATCTATGAAGAACATCTAAAAATAATTAGTATTTTATGTGGTTTTCCTGATAACATTACTTAGGATTATTTCAGTTCACCAATCATAGCGGTATTTTAATAAATTTTTTGCTTGGTTCACTTTATAAAAATCAAAAATCAATAAACTAAATTTAAAAAAACGAGGAAGCTTTAATAATTTCACGATCACTGACGACAAATTAAGATTTTGAAAGACTGAAGGAAAGTTTGAAATATTAATAAAAATTGGAATAAAATCTGAAGATGGAAGTTATTTGAAGTTTTGGGAAGAAAATTCCAATGAAAAAAAGAAATCTTCCATAAACTATTTTATGTTTATCTCGCCAGTTATTACTATCAAACAATAGTTTATGATAACTTTTATCTTATGAAAAACTTAAGTCTAATTTTATTCAGTAAAAAGATATAAAATTATTTGTTTAACTGATAAATGATAATAATTAATCAATAAATACGGTTGGAAATAGCAACACAACACTTTTTATGGCTAAAAATTTAAGAAACAATTAAAAATTTGAAATATGTTCTCTAATAATATATATTAAAATGTTAAATTAATTTATTTCTAAAGAAGTGAATATTCTCATTAAATTCTTTTGTATTCAAATAGAAAGGAATTAAATAATATCATTCGTTTTGTAATTGATAAAATTAGTAAAAGAAACTTTCTGTTGGATAGTAATACAATTTGATGATAACTATAAAAGTTTCTATATATTTCTTGTTCATGCGTAATAAATTCAGCAAGAAAGAAATGATTACTAAGTTAAATTATCATAGCAAGAATAATTGGTGGAGGAGAGAATTGAGGAAGATATAATAATTAACACTATATCATTTATAATCGAATTTTATATCTGGTTTCAGACGAAAAAAAATCTATCTAGTTATATAGAATTTTTCGATCATTTCTTGCCATTTGTTAATATAAAAGATATTTTAGGTTTAAAGTTGAAAAATTTAAACCTTTTTTAAAATTAATCCAATTCCTTGCAATTTTTGGCATATTTTAATAATGCTAATAATCAAAAAATTGGTTAAATTATTGAAGGGAATTATCAGAAATATAGCTTTATGATAATACACTCGCTCTGAATCAATATAAAAACGAGGACATTGGATCGGAATATCTAAATGAATTGAATGAAATCTTATGAGCTATGTTTCAACAATTTTGAAGAATCATGACATTAATAATTAGTTTCCTCGAAGATAATGAACTGAAATGGTTGAGTGATTGTCACACTGACTGGTACGAAATATCAAAAAAGAATGTACGGTATCATTGCAGTTTGTTGTTAGTAATGAGGACATAACAATTTCATGTAAACAATCTTTACATTCTATCAATGATAACGATGGGCAGATATTATTCTAGTGATGAGCATATATTATATTATTCTTGTTAAAAATAAACTTATTGATAAGGTGTCTTCTGAAATTATATTTTTGAATCTTCATTAACTGTCATTTCCTTTATTGTATTATTTTCAAAGACATTTTCTACTAAAGTTGTTTTAAAGTGTTGAATGTATTACAAGTAGGTTATTGTAAACTTTTTTTTGTAAAGTTTGTGTAAATTGATTCGATTTGAAGAATGTATCATTGGATCGTTGTGTTACACTTCACTTTCTTATCACTGATGATATGATCTGTACATGGAATGTGCACACAAATATCAATTTCGTCTCAATCATATTACAGTATGCAACACACGGATACTATTGATGAAGTGTATGGAAGAAGGATGATGCTCAGAAAACAAATACAAAAATTAAAAATATTTTTGATTTATCGATCGTCATTTACTCATTAAAAAATTATATCAGTGTTCAACATATCGTTAATCATTTTGATAAAAGAGATGGAATCACAACTGATGTTAACGTAATTAAAAAGTCAGAAAGAAGAAGAAAACGTATCTATCAGTTCAACAAAGAGAAATTGTGAAGTAATTGCATTGAAGAATTCAAAAATGAAGTATCCCACGCATTTTCCAAGCGTATTAGGAGATGGTAGTGCTGTAAATTCTCTAATTTTGATCGGAAGAATTATTGTAAGGAGTATCTAAAACGATTTTTGAGTGGAGGGAAAATTATTACCAAGCTCAGTGTTTGAAAATTTATTTTAATTCAAACATTTTAATAAAATCGAGAGTAGCAAATTTTCTGAATTACAGTCCAGTAACTCATTTAATTTCAAGTAACGCTATATTGGTTCAACTACCTATATTACGCTGTAATATTCCTGAAGAACTTTGTGAATCGAACATCAATTAAAATTACTTTAATTTAGTTTTTCTCATGAAATTTCCAATTTTTATGAGCCGTGCCATAAGTTTTTGGGAACTAATATTATTTTATGCCACCTTTGCGATGTAAACTGATTGAAGCGCAACATAAAACTGTAAATTTATTGATGATGAAAGTACAGAATTGTAAACAACAAAATAGTTTGCTGTTGGAATAACTGATGTTATTCAGCTTGTATTTGACGTAAATATTAAAAGAGAAAAAAGGCACAAAGCTTGAAAGAATTCCTGAATCGAAATATAGAAATGTCCTAAAATAACCAAGGAACGAATAAGAGATAGGGATATTCCTATTAAGCATCAAGTTGTTCCAAAAATCAAATTATTAAATTGAAACCATAGAAATTTCGTCATACTTAAATAGAAAAACATTAATTAAGAGAAGCCACTGATTATGCGAACAACGGGATCCGAATTGGATAGTGTCAACACCAATCGTTGACAACTTGATGGAAAATGATCGAGAGAGTCCGAAAGGATGTGCCAGTCGTAGATATCTGATGCATGCCATGTAACATACTGTGAGATTAGTGCAAGCGCTGAATCGGCTTCTTTTCTTTCGCAGCTTCCTTTCACTATCACTGCAAATTTTATGTAGAATTCAACTAAAACTCATTAAATCGATAAAATATAAATTTCAAAAGTTGCTATGAATACTAGAACAACGAGAGATATGGCTATCTAGTACAGTACGTTTAGTGTAGCCATCTCTGTTTTTTAGGTGCCCATCACGTGACAGTATTTCTTTGGCTTATTTGAAGCTTTCAAAAAATAAATCCTGTCTAGCAAAACTACTTGACCTTGCAACTAGAAAAAATGTCTAAATACGATTTTACGGGTTTTACGTAAAAACAGAACTACTTAACCTTGCAACTAGAAAAGATTTTTGAATAAGATTTTACGAGTTTTACGTTCCGGCGTAAGTGCAAAATAATGCGGTGTATTTTTACTTACATTCTTCGCATTGCAAGTAACATAACTGGAAAGAACAGAGTAGACTAAGTTCCCGTTCATATTTGCTTATTTCTTTTTTAGTGAACACCTGAAAAAGTTGTAAGTAAGCGGTTGAATTTAAACCTTTTCGAAACAAAACTGAATTTTCTGAGTCATTTTCTTATTCCATGAATAAATAAAAGTAAAAATTGGAAAAGTTACGATTGAAGTTGTCTAACAGTGTTTGGCACATGTGATAGATCATCTTTTCTCATGAGGCCATTCCGTGTCATTCCAGCAGCGCTATAAATATGCGACTATTGACAAATTTTGCTAAAAATTTACCTTGCCAGGAAATGCTCTCTCTCTGTTTTCGATATTCTTTAATGCTTCCAAGTGACATGTCTGATCACATTTCAGAAATGTTAAAGGTTCCGTCTTTTCCAGGCAGCTTTGTGCTTCCAGAAAATGATGCTTTTTGAAATGGCATAGGAAATTCGACGGTGAAAATACTCGAACTGCAGACTGAAATTTGTCGTAAATGTAATTTTTCAGCACTTCAAAATTAAAACAGAAGCATTCCTGATAAAAATATCGTAATAAGTGATGGATTTTATATGATGGAAATATACTCAGATTGAAATATAGATCTAAATAAGAAAAATGAAAGAGAGAAAGTTATTGAGAAAGGAAGTTTCAATAAAGACTTAGTTTCTGATTGAAATCTGAGCTATAATAAAAAATTCATTCTCTTTCCTCCTCTTTAACATCTAAGCGTACTTAACCGAAATATTCTTAGTATTATCAATTTAGTAATCGATATCGCATTTTTTGTTCCCTTTCCTTTTTCTGACAACATGCAACATTATTAAGAGGATGGTTGGCTTTTACAAAATGAAGATAAGACTTAAGAATGTTTCCGGTTATTCATAAGGGTCAGATTTCAATTATTTTTAATACGATATCGATTACGATATTACGATATCATTACGATATCGATTACGATTTCGTATCAAAAAGAGATACTATGTGGGTTTGGGAATCAATTATTACCAAACATCCAAAACATCACATAGTATCTCTACGGGAAATATTATTTGATATGCCTATCAGTTGTTAGAAGACTTGGATGTTAGAAGACTCCTTCAAGTGAACAAAGATATACTAGGACGGTCTACCAATTCGGGTGGCAATAGACAAGTAGTGTCGCATTTTTTTTGGCTAGCACTCTATTGAAATGGTTTTTTTTTTCTAGTATTTCAGAGTATAGATAAGGGAATTATAAGTTTGCATTGCTTACACTCGAGAAGCATATCCTGGTCTAGACCAGGATTGTAGATGAAAGAAGTTAGAAAGTTTTTTACAATGTAAAATTTTGTTGGAAAAATGAGATCAATCTGCCAATAAACAGAAAAAACCATGCTTCTGTTTTTCTAAAGTGATGAATTTCGCAAAAAAACTGAAACTGGCCTGATCATTACATTCATTAATGTAGCATTGAGTCCGCTGTTCCGATATATTGCAAAAAGTAACGAATCCGGCACGATCCAGCACTGCGGGATGCAACGGGAAGTCATAAAAATCAGTCGTGCTCAAGTTGAACTCATGTTCAAATACACTTTTCCATTCATTGTTGCAATCCTGCAAACTGAATAATCAGAATTCGTACCATATCAATGAAATCATAATTTAAGGATTTTATTATAATCATCCACAAATTAAAGTCATCCAAATCTAAGCATCATAAAGTAAGACTGACTTTATAATTGCAAAATATGATGAGATTCTTGACATTTTGGTTCCCATAATGTGAATAATCTACAGCTAACAGATTATCTCAGACATTACATAAGTCAGTAAACTTAAAAAGACAGTGAACCAAGTTATCATTAAATTTTATTTCGTTGTTGGTAATGAAAAGTTACCCTATTTCGTATCAATCAATTGAAATGCTCTTAAAGTACCTGAAAACACGTGGCATCGGTGGAATTTACCTCGGAAACATACATAAAGTCGCGTTTCCATCGGAACTGATGACCAGGCTTGAACTGGCCAATGATAACAGTAATGATGAGAAAGAAACGGCTGAATGACAATGTACATAACAGTAAACTAATAATACTCATCACGAACGTAACAATCATCACCCAACAAATGTTCCCCTCCCCCTGCCTCTCCTTAGCAATGTAGGTCAATCAACACAACTCGAAAACCCTCCAAATGACGCCCTCCATGCATTTCAAATCCAATTCTTCTCATTCTTATTTTCGTTAAAATGTGCCTATCTTTATCTCATCCCTCATCCGTTCAAAAATATAGCGTATTTCAATGCAAAGATTGACCGATTTCAACTTCATTTCGTATAAAATTGTTTAAAAAATGCTCTCGATGGCACGCGATTAAACCATTAAGCAAGCCAAGGAAAAACTACTAGATGATACCGGTTAAGTTAGACTATTATACCAACACGAGCCCGCAAGCATTGGATGGACTGAAAGAATTGACTGACGTACATTTCTTCCAGCAACTCACTCGCCACACAGTAGAGCGACCTATGAAAAATGCAACATACAAAAATCTAGTGTGAAATGTTCCAAAAGAAAAAAACTAATCTTCAATCCCAACTGTCATGACATTCGAAAACTCAAAATAATCTTTATCGACAATTAAATTGTACAATTTACATGTCACAAGCATCGATTCATCGATAATCTATGCAGTATGAACATAGAAAAATAGATATCTCGAATCAGCTACTATGTTTCCTTAAACTTTGGATTCCATAACGACAGCTTCTGCTTTGTTGTTGAATAAGGGTAATACTTTCGATTTCTGAAAAATAAATTTCTGCACTTTATCACCACCGGTTTATGCTAACAAACTTAGATCGAAATAAATGTGACACAAACTTATCTACTGTCGCATACGCTCTCAAAACACAAAACCATGCGAAGGAATGAAACACTAACTTTGTCAGAACATATTAAAAATTTAAAGGAAGAGTAATAATATTTCTTAAACTTACTCTAATAAAGATAAATTCTCTTCGTGATCCAACATCCACTTTCTCTGCTTTGGAGGATTCTGGACGGGAGTTTCATCGGTAATATGATGCAACCACATATGCCTATGAAAGTGTGAGCCTAACAAAATTTGTACGTGAATCATCCAAAGTGTTTCTTCAAGTCATAATTTGGATGACGTCAGGGCAAAATTGGCCCCAAACCAAAACTAGAGAAAGATTAACTCACCATTCCGCAGGAATTTGAGAAGCGTCGTATTCAAGCCAAACATGTTCTGGATATTCAACCCAGCGATTTCGAGGAATAAAATAAGAATTATCCTTGAAAATGGATGAAAAATTTAACGGTTTAATATCGATTACAAACTTAACAGATTAGAAAACTATGAAAAATCATGATAGAAACGGTTTAACTAACTTCGTAGTATTTATTGCCGAATTTGTCTTCCCCCATCAACTTCCCAATTCTTGTTTCATCCATCCTAAACAGAATGATTGAAATGAGAAAATGATAAAAATCAAAAATAACAGGAAGACAAACATAACTATAAACATCTAAATGTGGAATATCACAAATGAGATTTCCCTGTTAGCAATTACTAATAACACACTGATATTGCAACCCATATGCTTACAAATAACGTTTCTTCGTGAAACCAATCCATCCACCGCAACCTTTAATTATTTGGAAGAATTTCGTCCATACTCGCAAACCAAGAATTTCTTTCAAACTCATTGGAACCTGAAGAGATAAGTGCAAAACAAAATACCATTCCGCCACAGGAAATTCCGAAAATTTTTCGAAATTATTTTCCGGAATTTACTTCCGAAATTATGTGATACACAGTTGATCATTCCATAGCACAAACAGGAAATCTGCAGCTTCTTTAAAACACATCAAATCCATTGAAGTCATTTCTATTCTAATCCCGTTTTCTAGGCTGAATAATCGATAATCCTAGAGAAAGACTAAACGTCTATTAGCACCACTCCTTTGCCAATTGCACACGTAACAGGCCGCACCAGCACCACAGACTATCCGCACGACTGGTATACAACTAGTTTACTTAGCTTACATTTAATATTAGGATCAAATACGAATTTCTTTGAAACAATTCATGATACCAAACACAGGACATGATATTCCGCTTAATTTCCTGCTCTCCCTATACTCCTCAACTTTCTCTTTTTCACAAAGATTCCGATGATTATCCGCCTTCAATTCTATGAAATCCCAAAACGCAATAAGATCCAAAGAGCGTGGTAAGCCAGTAAGCTGAACACTGTCATAACATGAAAATTTTTTTATTTACAATTCTTCAATGCAGTAATTCAAATCATTCTTACGGAAAAAAGATGGAAAAAGGTAATAATATTCTTTCTATATATGAAAAATTTTCTTATCCATATGTTGTACATTGACACTATTAAAAGATCACATCAAAACAAACAAGTTGCCTTGTAAGGAAGTGAAGAGACACGTTGTATAAAAGCAAGAATTATACAGAACATGCATTATGCAAGTTTAGCAACAATAACTGCATTCAATAAACCTGCTTCTTTTAAAGAAATTTTTTCTTGTTCAATCACTTTATTCGGAAAGGTTGTCATCAAATTGAATGGCTGGTAAGCATAATCTGGTGCTGCACTAAAAAATATCGTAATATTTGATATTGTATTTAGTTGTAACACTGCTGAGACACTCCTTTCTAAAAACAACATTTGGAGATGAATATATGCAGAAATTTTTAGTAAAAAACTGTGACTCACATTACGAGAAAATTTCGAATGTCTCCAACCGTATGATTATAATTAAATTGCCCGATAATTCGCTCCCCTTTTGGTAGTCGAATTTGCACATGCGTAGTGGGCTCTCCATCAACTAGTTTTATCGATTCCTGCGCTTTCTTAACACAATCCAAATCTAAAAATCATCAAAACCTAATTATTTCTAGATCACTGAGTAGATCACACTCTGAAACGTATAAATGGCGGACTCAGGAAGTGCATTCCAGAAAGCGTACCTGAAAGATGAGACAATGAACAAAAACCTTCAAAAACAAAATTCACTCTTATTCATCAAGCATTATAAATATGAAGTAAAAATGAATGAACAAGATCATTCTAATTTTTTTGCCAAGACGTTACAAACACAGTTTACCTACACATCCATTGTTCGCTGGATTAGCACCATTACTCGTTCCTTGTTCCAAATTTCCTGCAGGAGCGATAGCAGGAACAAGTTCACCTAGCCTCTGTCCTTGTCCACTGAACGGTTTAGGTTTAACTACATATGGTTCACGTCGACGTTCCATTCGAATGTCAATAGCTTTACCCGGATGCTGTCGTACTAACTCGTTTGGAATGTGTCTAAACTACGTTAAATGTAAGTGAGAAGCAATACATTCCATATACTGCAATTATAACACGCAAACCAATACAAAATGCTGTAAAGAACATATTTAATTGAAAAAATGTCTACTAAAATGTTTATGCCAATATTAGCACGACCACGCGATCCATGTGGACTAACTCTATAATGATCTATTATACCATTAGTAAATTTATTTATGCAAATTTTAGTAAACTTAGTAATTTTTTTGGTAAATTTTTCCATCCAAAGTTATAGTAAATTTTATAAGCCGATTTATAGTTGGTTTCTTCAGTATCGGTTAGCCGCCATGCCGCAAGATTTCTTCTGATTGTTTCACATGTCATATAATATATCCTACTATGCTTAGTCAATATGATAGTTAAAATCGCAATTCATCAGAGGTTTCTAACCGCAATTTCGGATCTTTCAACAAAAACAATACCTACTGTTTTTGACAGAAGACCCAATAAATTAGCTGCGGTCATAGTTTTCACAAAATGGGCTACAAATGCACCAGGGCCTAATGGAAAGTAAACCTTTTCGAAAATAAACATAGAACGTAAAAAAGTTATTCGGTCAAATGGAAAGTTACCCTTCGCTAATCGACTGCAAAAACGAATGACTTGTCAGGTCATTGTAGAGTCGAAGTGGACCATCATCTACAGTAAATCCATTTTCCCACATTATGAGTGTCACTTCCTGCTGAAACAGAAGACCGTTTATCCTGAACCTACTTCAGCAAAAAATTACTGAAATAAATTCCAAAAATCAATCACGAAAGGAACATCAAAATACTTACTGGACCAGAAGAAATCTTCGATTCAATCAACTGAGACTGCTCTACAGCATCTCCCAAACGATAACCTTTACTATTCGAAGCAAACTTCACTGCATCACGAGTTCCTAGTTTGCCATTCTCTTCTTGTGTCAGAGGTTCAGCACCACGTGCACGAACTGACTTGAAAAACTGTGAAATGAAGTCTTCATTACGTGAACTATCTGGTCCAAGCACTACATTCCCACTGAAATGCTTTTAAAATAATAATGTGAAATAAACATATTACGATATCCTACATGAATTCTTAATAATTGCATCAATGTTTTTTAAATTCGTATTTCAAATTTTCCCTTTCACCAAGTTTTCACAGAATAGGGCAAAATGGTATAGTCCATATTCATATATTTTCAAGAAGTTTTAAAGATTTAAGTAAGGTGATTCGTCATTCCTTATATACGGAACACATATACCTGAAGTCTTTGCAAAAATTATCGTACCAGAAAGCCCAAGACAAATTAAGTTTACCTCTGCTCGCTACCGCCGACAAAAAATCCTTGACGATTCTCATCATCACTAGACGGACTACTACTCCGGCTTCCTGTTTTCTTATTCGAAGAATGTAAAGTTGCAATTCTATAACAATTTAATTTGTAATAAGTATCATCTCCCGCACAACAAAGAAACTGTTGCATGATAATCAACAGAAAAACTGCTAACAAGTTTCACTAGTCTTTATATTTACTACTGAACTGTAACTAGGAGAGAGAAAAGTTTGAAATTATAGAGAAAATACCGAATAATCCTGGTTAAGACGACTAAAACTTTCGGTCATCAGTAAAGCGCATCTCCTAATAAAAAGCCAATGCACTACCGTCGACTGACCTTCCAATTACCACACCAGTTTGCCACCTACTTCAATAACCTACAGCTGTCTCACTACTTTAGATTATTAAATCCGACTTTCGATCTTGAAGCTCATTGACACTATGACACTTCGGCTATACTTAACCATTACAACATCCACACTATGACGTGATGCATGTCAAGATGTACACTTCAAGACTGCACAAATATCACAGAATTAATGAAATGTATGACAAACCTGCGGCTCATTGTATGATTATGATATGAATGGTTGAAAGAACGAAGCTATCGTGAGAAAACTCTGAAATAGTTTCGCGATAACAACGTGTAAATGCACAAGTTAAATCGCGTAATGTCCCTTATTGCAATTCTCCCAATTTCACGGAAATCTCAAACCGAACAAAAACGATTCCCAACACTCCCCTATCTTCCCCCACCGACGCATGCACCCACACCTGACACTAAAGCCAGCAAAACAGCCCGTTTGTAATCAGTGCATCGCAATGAAAACTTCCATCCTCTCATCATATTCTGTTCACTTCTTATGTGCATTTTTTTTACGTTCTTGCCTGCATTTTTCGGACCCTTACGCGCGTTTTTTATCATTGTAGTTTTTGGTTATGTGTGTTTGTATGATAAAACTTATTGTAACATTTGAAAACTCCGAAACGAAGATAAAAAGGTATGTGTAACGGATATATTTACATGCACTTAAAAAGAACGCTCAATAATTCGAACCTTTCAAATAGTTAAAGAAGTACGCATAGCGTAAACAGATATAATTGAAATTGACAAAAGTTAAAATTTTCCACTTTTTATTTTAAAATTTATTAACTGTACGGAAATATGAATTTCAAGAGGAATGCGTCATGTAAAATCTAAATCAATCTTTAATGCTGTGCCAAGTTAAATGCGTTTGAACATATTCTGCAACTTTATTGGTATTAAACTAGATTATAGGTAATGTTGTAAAATCACTAATAAGATTATCCTCACCGTAACCTTATCGATTTATAATTACAAAAAAATGAGTGAAATACTACTTATCAACGATGTTGTTAATTAACGCTTACTGATGAAGATGAAATACTAAATCAAGAAAATGTTTTAGAATAATAAAACTCTGATTAAGATTTGTCTCTTTTTTTTCTTTATGTTTTAAAGCTTTGGATTGAGCAAGTGTAAATTTTCCGGTAATACGCTAAACGAATCATATCTTGAAGACGAAAAAAAGTTTCTCAAATGGTTCATAATTTCATTTTCCACTTTGTTTTGGTAGCTTTTCATTTGAAATTTTTGCCGCCATCGTAGGCATTGCCATTTCAGGGCCATTATACTGATATCCAGAACATCCTTAAAAAATTGTACTTATCCATAAGGTTGAATTTGAAAATGTGTTAGTCATTAATTGGTTTGAATCGATCTTATTTGATCATAATGAAAATTACTGACAGTTGTTAATTGAACTGAACCTCTTACCGGGCTGCTGATCATCCATTTCTATACACATGTTTTTATCCGTTTCACGAATCCTAAAATACGTACTGGTCAATATCAACATAAAATTTTAACACATCATCCCTGGGAATTCTTAGAAAACAATTCTGCAAATAATTAACAGCGTTTTTCTTGAAGGGATTATGCTAATAACTTTACTGGAACTTTTGCATAATAGAACAACTTAATTTTTATTGCTGTTTTGATTCTCAAAGAATGTCATAGAAATTTGTTGACGTTTACGATTTTGTTTAACGTGCTGTTCGAATGCCTCTATCAGAGATTTAGATTCATCCAGAAGACGTTTCGATTTTTCCATAAGACATTTGTGCTCCATCATCTACAACCGAGTTACCTTTTATATATGTGGATAGAATTAAAACAATATTTCTTGCTGATGGACCGGAAGTCTACTCTTTGAGTAATTCTCTAAAAGGTTATATTAGTGTTCAATGACTCTATGTCCTGGAAAATATGCTTTTAAAATTAGCTTAACCTTTTTTTCACGAATTTTCTTCGATT